GTCCGGGTAACGCTCCTTATGTTTGTAATGTACAGTAAACAAAGGGTGAGACCACCCCAGCTACTGTCCGATTCGCCAACATGAAAACTCGATGTCTTTCTTCCTATCTTACAACAGAAAACATATAACAGCGAAATACGAACACATCATGCTTCTGGAAAGATGCAGTTGAGTAACCCACTTGAGCACCTGACAGCATCCAAAGAGAGAGAGAGAATTATAAAAAATACTATAATTTTAAAATAAAGAAGAAAACACGTAGTATAGACCCGCACTACACTAATAAAACCTAACACTAACCAAAACAACTGTTTTAACTGGTCGTGGTAGTAACATTGTTGCCTGAATATAAATAAGTATTATCTTATTTCAGGAGTGTACACAGTGATGTGGAAGTCGTGCACTACCACCATGGTTTTTTGTTTTTTTAAGTCTTACCCTTACAGCTGTTCAAAATGTGCACTGCTGATATGAAACCCAATGTGACAACAGACACTTCTACATGTTCTGGCAGAATCAATGACAACTGAATCATTTTATATATATATAAAAATAAAAGAAGATAGTAAGTGAAACAAAAGATCATAGTAAGGGCTTTTGTTACATCTGGTATCGCATCTTTTCTGTAATATAAGCAAGCATCTTGACAATTGCGCCTAACTCAAAAGAAGAGAAAAAAAATGAGTCTTTCTTTCTTTTGTTAAGTGATGGATTCCAATTAATTCTAGGTGGCACAGTACAATGCCGTTGCATAATAGAATGAGCAGTCTTTCCATAGAGTTGATGACATCAACCTGCAATACAACACAAGCACAAAACTGAGCAGAAACGGACCGATTAGTACCTGGTAGCTTCGTCTTTCCCATGTTCGAAAATATTCATTAGAGTTATGTATATCACGGGCGTGGAAGTGTTGTAGGTATTTCGTACAATACCACTAGTTCCGGAAGTGCTCGTATTCATATGCCAGGTCACTATATTAGTTTTAACTGACTTAAAATAAGACTCAAAACTCGAGCGCTTTCGAATAGTT